GTCGGTCGAGGCTAGTCTAGAATTTGTGATCTCACTGTCCGCCCGGCTCGACATTCCACTGTCACAGGATAAGAGGTGTGATGCGCCGAGCCTAACCCAAGTTTTGTTTCCGTTCTGAAGACAGAAATTCCCATTTTGATCGGGGCGGGTTTCGAACACGCATCCTCGAAATTTTCTTTGGGTTGTCTTCGAAGCATTTAAATGACAGGTTTCTGTTACCCACCGTACTTGGCAGGCAGAGTTTCATGCTAGCGCTGAGGGCCTATTCGGGCTTCTATGTAGAGTCCCAATTCAGTGTACGTGCTGCCGAAGCGAGCACATGTCGTGCCTGGCTCAGCTTCTTTATTTCTGTCGGTTTTAATGTTGTTAAACAGCAAGCGGGTAGCACTGTGTCTGTCGAGGCCAGTCTCGAAATTGTGATCTCACTGTCCGCCTGGCTCGACATTCCGCTGTCACAAATTACAAGTGTGATGAGCCAAGCCTAACCCAAGTTTAATTTTTGTTCTGAAGACGAAAATTTTTCATGTTGGTCGGGCTTGTCTCGAACACGCATCCTCAAACTATTCTTTGCATTGGTCTTTGAAGCGCCTAAATGACAGGTTTTTCTGAGCCACTGTACCTGGCAGGACGAGTCTCATGCTAGTGCTGAGGCCTTTTCGGGCTTTTGTGTAGAGTCCCAATTTCAGTGTACGTGCTGCCTAAGTGAGCACATGCCGTGCACGGCTCATGTTTTTTTTCTTTCGGTTTTTATGTTTTTTATAGCAAGCGGGTAGCGCTGTGTCGGTCGAAGCCAGTCTCGAATTTGTGATCTCACTCTCCACGAGGCTCGACCTTCCAGTGTCACGGGATTACAGGTGTGATGTGCGGAGCTTAATTCAAATTTTGTTTCCGTTCTGAAGACGGAAATTTCCCAAGTCGGTCTGGCGGATCTCAAACATGCATCCTTGAAATTTTGTTGCGTTTGTCTTTGAAGTGCCTATTTGACAGGTCCCTGTGAGCCATCGTACCTGGCATGCCAAATTTCATGCTATTGATCAGGCCTTCTCCGGCTTTTATGTAGAGCCTTAATTTCAGTGTATGTGCTGCTGAAGCAAGCCGATGTTGTGCCCAGCAGAGCTTTTTTATTTCTTTCGGCTTGTATGTTGATTATAGCAAGTGGGTAGCACTGGGTCAGTCGAGGCCAGTCTCGAATATGTGATCTTACTGTTCATACGGCTTGACATTTCACTGTCACGGGATTACAGGTGTGATGCGTCTAGCCTAAGCCAAGTTTTGTTTTCGTTCTGAAGTCGGAAAACTCCCATGTTGGTTGGACGGGTCTCGAACACTCATCCTCAAAATTTTCTTTGCGTTGGTCTTCGAAGCACCTTAATGACAGGTTCCTGTGAGTCACCGTAACTGGCATGCCGAGTTTCATGCTTGAGCTGAGGTTTTTTGGGGTTCTATGTAGAGTCCCAATTTCAGTGTACATGCTGCCAAAGCGAGCACATGCCGTGCCCGGCACAGCTTTTTTATTTCTTTCTGTTTTTATGTTGCTTATAGCAGGCATGTAGTGCTGTGTCGGTCGAGGCCAGTCTCGAATTTGCGATTTCACTGTTCGACCGGCTGAACCTTCCACTGTCACGGAATTACAGGTGTGATGCACTGAGCCTAACCCAAGTTTTGTTTTTGTTTTTAAGACGAAGATTTCCCATATTGGTCGGTCGGGTCTCGAACACCCATCCTCAAAATATTGGTTGCGCTGGTCTTTGAAGCGCCTAAATGACAGGTTTCTGTGAGCCACTATACCTGGCAGGCTGAGTTTCATGTTAACAAGAGAGAACGGAGAGACGTCGCCCAGCACTGTGACTAACACCAGCTATCCTAGCCATTTGGGAGGTCGAGGTGGCCGGTTAACCTGAGGTCACGAGTTCCGGTCAGCCTGGGCATCTGGGTGAAAACCCACTTCACTTAAAAAAAAAGTAGAAAAAGAAAATCACAGAAATCAGACAATTTGGTGTGCTCAATCTGAACAAACGAGGTGCCAGGTGCCTCCAACACCCATTCTGCCTTTCTGTATGACGTACTGCTTTTCTACTGTCACCCAGGCTAAAGTGAAACACTGCGATCTCGGCTTATTGCCACAACTGCATAGTGGGTTCCAGCCGCCATTCTGCCGATTCCTTTCAAGTGACTGTGGTTGAATATGTCAACACCACCTGGAACAGACGACTTTCTGTTTATTTTTGTGAACATAAAAGCTTTCTGTATTTGATTTGTACAAAACAGTTACAACAACAAGACAAAATGAATAAATAGAAAACAGAACGCTGTGTAGCGTTTCATCCTTGCTCTGAGGTCTATTCGGGCTTCTATGTAGAGCCCCAATTTTAGTGTACGTGCTGCCAAAGCGAGCACATGCCATGCCCGGCTCAGCTTTTTTATTTCTTTCGGTTTTTATGCGGTTTCTAGCAAGTGGGTAGCGCTGTGTCGGTCGATGCCTGTTTCAAATCTGTGATCTAATTGTCCGCCCAGCTCGACATTCCACTGTCATGAAATTATATGTGTGATGCGCTTAGCCTAACTAAGTTTCATTTCCGTTCTGAAGACAGAGATTTTCCATATTGGTCGGGTGTGTCTCGAACACGCATTCTCGAATTTTTTTTGCGCTGGTCTTCGAAGCGCCTAAATGACAGGTTCCTGTGAGCCATCATACCTCGCAGGCCGAGGTTCATGTTAACAAGAGAGAAAAAGAGAGGTTTCCCAGCACTGTGAGTAAAACCAGCTATCCTAGTTATTTGGGAGGTCGAGGTGGGCAGTTGACCTGAGGTGACGAGTTCAGAGTCAGCCTGGGCATATCCGTGAAAACACTCTTCACTTAAAAAAAAGTAGAAGAAAAAATCACAAAATCAGACAAATTGGTGTCCTCAATCTGAACAAACGAGGTGCCAGGTGGCTCCAAACCTCACCCCGCCTTTCTGCATGACATAATGCTTTCTCCTGTCACCCGGGCTGAAGTGAAACACTGTGATCTCAGCTTATTCCCACAACTGCATAACGGGTTCCAGCGGCCGTTCTGCCAATGCCTTTCAAGTGACTGGTTGAATATATCAACACCACTTAGAGCAGACAACTTTCCGTTTGTTTATGTGAACCTAAAATCTATCTGTATTTGATTTGTACAAAACAGTTAAAACGGCAAAAATAAATGAATAAATAGAAAACGGAACACTGCACAGCGTTTCATCCTTGCGCTGAGGCCTTTTCGGACTTCTATGTAGAGTCCCAATTTTAGTTGACGTGCTGCTGAAGCAAGCACATGCTGAGCCTGGCTCAGCAATTTTATGTCTTTCGGTTTTTATGTGGTTTATATCAAGCAGATAGCGCTGTTTTGGTCGAGGCCCGTCTCGAATCTGCAATCTCACTGTCCGCCCAGCTCAACATTCCACTGTCATGGGATTATAGGTGTGATGCGTTGAGCCTAACCCAAGCTTTGTTTCCGTTCTGAGGATGGAGATTTCCCATATCAGTGGAGGCAGGTCTCAAACACGCATCCTCGAAATATTTTTAGCACTGGTCTTGGAAGCGTTTAAATGACAGGTTTCTGTTAGCCACCGTACCTGGCAGGCTGAGTTTCATGTTAACAAGAAAGAACAGAGAGACAATGCCCAGCACTGTGAGTAACACCAGCTATTCTAGCCATTTGGGAGGTCGAGGTGTGCGGTTCACCTGAGGTCACCAGTTCCAGGTCAACCTGGGCATTTTGGTGAAACCCACTTCCTGTAAAAAAAACAAAAGTAGAAAACAAAGTCACAAAAATCCGACAAATTGGTGTGCTCAATCTGAAAAAATGAGGTGCGAGGTGGCTCCAAACCCCACCCTGCCTTTCTGCATGATGTACTGCTTTCTCCTGTCACCCGGGCTGGAGTGAAACACTGTGATCTCGGCTTATTGCCACAACTGCATAGTGGGTGTCAGCGGCCGTTCTGCTGCCTTTCAAGTAACTGTGGTTGAATAAGTCAACACCACCTGGAACAGCCAACTTTCTGTTTATTTTTGTGAACCTAAAATCTATCTGTATTTGATGTGTACAAAACAGTTACGATGGCAAAACTAAATTAATAAATAGAAAACGGCATGCTGCGTAGCATTTCATTTTTGCACTGAGGCTTTTTCGGGCTTCTATGTAGAGTCCCAATTTTAGTGTACGTGCTGCCAAAGCGAACACATTCCGTGCCCGGCTCAGCTTATTTATTTCTTTCGGTTCCTATGTGGTTTATAGCAAGCGGGTAGTGCTGTGTCAGTCGAGGCCTATCTCGAATCTGTGATCTCACTGTCCATTAGGCTCGACATTCCACAGTCACGGAATTACAGGTGTGATGTGCCAAGCCTAACCCGAGTGTGATTTTCGTTCTGAAGACTGAGATTTCCCATATCGGTCAGGCGGTTCTCGAAATTTTTTTTGCGCTGGTCTTCGAAGCGCCTAAATGACAGGTGTCTGTGAGCCATTTTACGTGGCAGGCCGAGTTTCATGTTAACAAAAGAGGACAGAGAGACGTTTCCCAGCACTGTGAGTATCACCAGCTATCATAGCCATTTGGGAGGTCGAGGTGGGTGGTTCACCTTAGGTTATGAGTCCCGGGTCAGCCTGGGCATTTTGGTAGAAGCCCACTTCACCTAGAAGAAAAAGAAGTGGAAAGAGAAAATCACAGAAATCAGACAAATTGGTGTGCTCACTCTGAAAAAACGAGGTGCCAGGTGGCTCCAACCCCCACCCCGCCTTTGTATATGAAGTACTGCTTATCTTCTGTCACCCGGGCTGGAGTGAAACACTGTGATCTCGACTTATTGCCACAACTGCATAGTGGGTTCCAGCGGCCATTCTGCCGATTCCTTTTGAGTAACTGTGGTTGAATATGTCAACACCACCTGAAACAGACAACTTTCTGTTTATTTTTGTGAACCTAAAATCTATCTGTATTTAATTTGTACAAAACAGTTACAATGGCGAAACTAAATTAAAAAATAGAAAATGGAATGCTGCATAGCATTTCATCCTTGCGCTGAGGCCTTTCAGAGCTTCTATGTAGAGTCCCAATTTTAGTGTACGTACTGCCGAAGCGAGCACATGCCGTGCCCGGCTCAGCTTTTATATTTCTTTCGGTTTTTATGTGGTTTATAGCAAGTGGGTAGCGCTGTGTCGGTCGAGGCCCATCTCGAATCTGTGATCTCACTGTTTTCTCGGCTCGACATTCCACTGTCATGGGATTACAGGCGTGATGTGCCGAGCCTAACCCAAGTCTTGTTTCCATTCTGAAGACGGAGATTTCCCATATCGGTAGGGCGGGTCTCCAACAGGCATCCTCAAAATTTTTTTTGCGCTGTTCTTCAAAGCGCCTAAATGACAGGTTTCTGTGGGCCACCATACCTGGCAGGCCGAGTATCATGTTTACAAGAGAAAACGGAGAGACGTTGCCCAGCACTGTGAGTAACACCAGCTATCCTAGCCATTTGGGAGGTCGAGGTGGGCGGTTCTCCTGAGGTCACGAGTTCCGGGTCAGCCTGGGCATCTCCGTGAAAACCCACTTCACTTAAAAAAAAGTAGAAGAAAATCACAGAAGTCAGACCAATTTGTGTGCTCACTCTGAACAAACCTAGGTACCAGGTGGCTCCAAACCCCACCCCGCCTTTCTGTATGTCGTACTGCTTTTCTCCAGTCACCCGGGCTGGAGTGAAACACTGCGATGTCGGCTTGTTGCCACAACTGTATAGTGGGTTCCATCGGCCGTTCTGCCGATGCCTTTCAAGTACCTGTGGTTGAATAATTCAACACCACCTGGAACAGACAACTTTCTGTTTATTTTTGTGAACCTAAAATCTATCTGTATTTGATTTGTACAAAACAGTTACAACAGCAAAACTAAATGAATAAATAGAAAACGGAATGCTGCGTAGAGTTTCATCCTTGCGCTGAGGCCTTTTCGGGCTTCTATGTAGAGTCCCAATTTCTGTGTACCTGCTGCTGAAGCGAGCACATGCAGTGCCCGGCCCGGCTTTTCTATTTCTTTCGGTTTTTATGTTGTTTATAGCAAGTGGGTACCGCTGTTTCGGTCGAAGCCAGTGTCGAATTTGTGATCTCACTATCTGCCCGGCTAGACATTTCACTGTCGCGGGATTACAGGTGTGATGCGCTGATCCTATCCTAAGCATTGTTTCCGTTCTGAAGACGAAAATTTTTCATGTTGCTCGTTCGGCCCTCGAACACGCATCCTCGAAGTTTGCTTTGCGTTGGTCTTCAAAGCACCGAAATGACAGTTTCCTGTGAGCCACCGTACCTGGCAGGCCGAGTTTCATGCTATCGCTGAGGCCTTTTCGGGCTTCTATATAGCGTCTCAATTTCAATGCCCGGCTCAGCTTCTTTATTTCTTTCGGTTTTTATGTTGTTTATAGCAAGCGGGTAGCACTGTGTCGGGCGAGGCCAGTGTCGAATTTGTGATTTAACAGTCCGTCTTGCTCGAAATTTCACTGTCACGGGATTACAGGTGTGATGAGCCAAGCCTAGCCGCAGTTTTGTCCCCGTTCTAAGATGGAAATTTCCCATGTGTGTCGAGGAGGTCTCGAACATGCATCCTCAAAATATTCTTTGCGTTGGTCTTCGAAGCGCCTAAATGACAGGTTCCTGTTAGCCACTGTACCTTTCAGGCCAAGTTCATGCTAGCGCTTAGTCCTTTTTGGGCTTCTATGTAGAGTCCCAATTTCAGTGTATGTGCTGCCGAAGCAAGCACATGCCGTGCCCAGCTAAGCTTTTCTTATTTCTTCTGGTTTTTATGTTGTTTATAACAAGCGGGTAGCCCTGTGTCTGTCGAGGCCAGTCTCGAATTTGTGATCTTACCATCCACCCGGCTTGACATTCCACTATCACGGGATTACAGGTGTGATGCACCGAGCCTAACCCAAGTTTTGTTTCTTTTCTGAAGACGGAAATTTCCCATGTTGGTCAGGCGGGTCTCGAACACACATCCTCGAAATTTTCTGTGCATTGGTCTTCAAAGCGCCTAACTGACAAGTTTATGTGAGCCACCATACCTGGCAGGCCGAGTTTCATGCAAGTGCTGAGGCCTTTTCGGGCTTCTATGTTGAGTCCCAATTTCTGTGTACCTGCTGCTGAAGCGAGCACATGCAGTGCCCAGCCCGGCTTTTCTATTTCTTTCGGTTTTTATGTTGTTTATAGCAAGCGGGTAATGCTGGGTTGGTTGAAGCCAGTGTCGAATTTGTGATCTCACTGTTTGCCCGGCTCGACATTTCACTGTTGCGGGATTACAGGTGTGATGCGCCGAGCCTATCCTAAGTATTGTTTCCATTCTGAAGACGGAAATTTTCCATTTTGGTCCCTCGGCTCTCGAACACGCAACTTTGAAGTTTGCTTTGCGTTGGTCTTCAAAGCACCGAAATGACAGTTTCCTGTGAGCCACCGTACCTGGCAGGCCGAGTTTCATGCTATCGCTGAGGCCTTTTTGGGCTTCTATATAGCGTCTCAATTTCAATGCCCGGCTCAGCTTCTTTATTTCTTTTGGTTTTTATATTGTTTATAGCAAGCAGGTAGTGCTGTGTCGGTTGAGGCCAGTCTCGAATCTGTGATTTCACAGTCCGTCCGGCTCGAAATTCCACTGTCACGGGATTACAGGTGTGATGAGCTGAGCCTAATCAAATTTTTGTCCTTGTTCTAATACATAAATTTCCCATGTTTGTTGAGCGGGTCTAGAACACGCATCCTCAAAATATTCTTTTTTTTTTGGTCTTCGAAGTGCCTAACTGACAAGTTTGTGTGAGCCACCGTACCTGGCAGGCCGAGTTTCATGCAAGCGCTGAGGCCTTTTCGGGCTTCTCTGTAGAGTCCCAATTTCTGTGTACCTGCTGCTGAAGCGAGCACATGCAGTGCCCAGTTCGTCTTTTCTATTTCTTTCGGTTTTTATGTTGTTTATAGCAAGCGGGTAGCGCTGTGTCGGTCGAAGCCAGTGTCGAATTTGTGATCTCACTGTCTGCCCGGCTCTACATTTCACTGTCACGTGATTACAGGTGTGATGCGCCGAGCCTATCCCAAGTATTGTTTCCATTCTGAAGACGGACATTACCCACGTTTGTTGGGCGGGTCACAAAGAGGCATCCTCGAAATTTTTCGCGTTGGTCTTCAAAGCACCTAAAAGACAGGTTTCTGTGAGCCACTTTTCCTTGCAGGCCGAGTTTCATGTTAGCTCTGAGGCCTTTTCGGGATCCTATGTGCAGTCCCAATTTCAGTGTACATGCTGTCGAAACAAGCACATGCCGCGCCCGGCTTAGCTTTATTATATGTTGTTTATAGCAAGCAGATAGCGCTGTGTCAGTCGAGGCCACTCTCGAATTTGGGATCACACTGTCCACCCAACTCAACCTTCTGCTGTCATGGGATTACAGTTTTGATGTGCCGAGCCTAACCCAGGTTTTGTTCTGGTTCTGAAGACGGACATTTCCCATGTTGTTCGGGCAGGTCACGAACAGGCATCCTTGAAATATTTTTTGCGTTGGTCTTCAAAGAACCTAAATGAAAGTTTCTGTGAGCCAACGGACTTGGCAGGCCGAGTTTCATGTTAGCACTGAGGCCTTTTTGGGCTCCTATTTAGAGTTCCAATTTCAGTGTACGTGCTACCGAAGTGAGCACATGCCGTGCCTGGCTCAGCTTTATTATTTCCTTCGGTTTTTATGTTGTTTATAGCAAGCAAGTAGCGCTGTGTCAGTCGAGGCCAGTCTCGAATTTGTGATCTCACTCTCCATCTGGCTCAACATTCCACTGTCATGGGATCACTGGTGTGATGCGCCGAGCCTACCCAAATTTTTTTTCCGTTTTGAAGACAGACATTGCCCACGTTGGTCGGGCGGGTCACGAACAGGCATCCTCAAAACTTTTTTTGCGTTGGGCTTCAAAGTGCCTAAATAGCAGGTTCCTCTGGGCCACCGTACCGGCAGGCCGAGTTTAATGTTAGCACTGAGGCCTTTTTGGGCTTTTATGTAGAGTCCCAATTTCAGTGTACGTGCTGCCGAAGCGATCACATGCCGTGCCCAGCTCAGCTTTGTTTTTTCTTCCGGTTTTTATGTTGTTTATAGCAAGCGGGTAGCGCTGTGTCGGTTGAGGCCTGTCTCGAATTTGGAATCTCACTGTCTGCCAGGCTTGACATTCTGCTTTCACGGGATTACAGCTGTGATGCGTCGAGCCTATCCCAAGTTTTGTTTCCGTTCTAAAGATGGACATTTTTCACGTTGGTCGCACAGGTCACAAACAGGCATCCTCGAAATTTTTTTTGCGTTGGTCTTCAAAGCGCCTAAATGAAAGGTTCCTGTAAGCCACTGTACATGGCAGGCTGAGTTTTATGTTAGTGCTGAGGCCTTTTTGGGCTCCTATGTAGAGTCTCAATTTCAGTGTATGTGCTTCTGAAGCGAGCACATGCTGTGCCCGACTCAGCTTTATTCTTTTTGGTTTTATGTTGTTTAAAGCAAGCAGGTAGCGCTGTGTTGGTCGAGGCTAGTCTTGAATTTAAGATCTCACTATCCGCTCGGTTCGACATTTTGCTGTCATGGGATTACAGCATTGATGCGCTGAGCCTAACCCAAGTTTTGTTTCCATTGTGAAGATGGGCTTTTCCCACATTGTTCGGGCAGGTCTGCCAAAGCGAACACATGTTGTGTCCGGCTCAGCTTTATTATTTTTTTCGATGTTTTGTTGTTTATAGCAAGCGGGTAGTGCTGTGTCGGTTGAGGCCAGTCTCGAATTTGTGATATTGCTGTCCGCCCAGCTTAACATTCTGCTGTCATGGGATGACAGGTGTGATCCGCCTAGCCAAACCCAAGTTTTGTTTCCGTTCTGAAGACGGACATTTGCCACATTGTTCGGGCAAGTCACGAATAGGCATCCTCAAAATTCTTTTTACGTTGGTCTTCCAAGCACCTAAATGACAGGTTCCTGTGAGCCCCCGTACCTGGCGACCCGAGTTTTATGCTAGCGCTGAGGCCTTTTCAAGCTCTTATGTAGAGTCCCAATTTCAGTGTACATGCTGCCGAAGCAAGCACATGCCATGCCTTGCTCAGTTTTATTATTAT